GGAGGACTATTATTTTGCTGCGTGATACTGCGGAAGAACTGATGAAGGCACGGTTTGATCTTCGGCTGACCAATCAGCAGAAAGGGGCGGTTAATTCCCGCCCACGTGTAGAAATCGAATATTCAAGCTGTTTATTCATTTTTCCACCCATGAACGAAAAACGAAAATTTAAGCGAAATTCTCGTTTCTCGTTTTTTGGAAAAAAAACGAAAAAATGAAAACGGAGCCGTTTTCTCATTTTTCTACTTTCAATATTAAATCAAAAAACGAATGATCGAATGATACACGGATTCTTGGCAACTAGCTAAATTTAAATTCCGTTTATTTATTTACCGTTCATTTCAAATAACATAAATGCTTTATATGGTTTTTGTTTTTAATAATAACCCTTTTCGTGGGTTCTCTAAAAGACACACTTGGCTATTTTGGCTGGTATTTGATTGTACCGCTTTATTTTTAATATTTCTATTATTTTTTTAGTGCTTCATAGCTACACTGCCCTCTCTGTTCACACGCGAGAACTACAGTCTGTAAACACATCAGGAAAACTACAATTCCCAGAACCACCATCTTTCCTGCGTGACGTCATGGCGCGCGGATGAAAACAGTCGCATGATACTGTTTATTTCAAGACAGATAGCGTTTACAAGACTGATAGATATATTCGTCGTTTCTGTGCGTTGCCAAAGAAAGCACATCATCTCTAGTCCGTGGAGCTCAATGGCGCTGTCAGAGTGGCGTCTGTCTCTCAAGCTGCTGGATCAGCCTTCTCTTCCCAAGTCCGTGCTGCGGTTTCCCGAGACTGAGCCTGGAGATGTTCCTCCCGGAGAGTATCGGGTCTCCACTCTCAAGCAGCTGCTGTCAGCTCAGATCCCACATGCCATACCAGATCCTGAGCTCATAGGTAACATATAATGCGAAGCATACGACTCATTGTAATATTATTAGACGACAGTATGGCATTAATGCTGTCACATTTGAACTGATTAAAAACACTGGAGCCTTTATTTATAATGTTATAATTTGATGTGGACCTCAAAATCAAATTAAAATCATTAAAAGGCATCCAGGTAACTAAATAACGGTTTCGTTTTGTTTAGTCCGTTATTTTAAGCCTTTTTACAGATTTACTAGCGCTTATTATTATATTATTATTTACTGTTATTTTACTAGTGCTTATTAGTTTTTATTATTTTAAATTTTTATTTGGTGACTATCTTTTCAATTTTATTGTCTATTTATGAGATACTAGTATACTTATTGCTTTGCTAATAGCTACTATGATAATCAAAGATAAATGTTCCTTTGCTATATCAATATGCAGTATGTTAACAAAATGCTTTGAATTCTTTGTGGTTCAGATATTAACTAATCACTTTTGTCTAGTTTGTATTGCAATTGTCGCCGGTATCAATTACAATTTTGCTAGTAACTGTTCATTGGGTAATAGTACTCTACTCATTTCCTGGTTACTAATAACTTCCTAATAATTACTAGTTTCTATTCCAGCTTTATTCATATTTATTTATTATATCCCAACTGTTATTAATAAAAAAAAATTATCCTACTAAATAATAGCTTTTTTTTTTTTAAAGAGAAGCATTCAATCTTTTCATAAATAATTGCAACTAAAGTTAAAATCCATTATATTATTTGCAGATTTCCTGCTGCATTTTTCTATTGGTTACTTAAGATTCATTTATAGGTATTAAATGTATTATAACTGTGTAATAGTTCATATAAATGCATTATAAGGTGCATTACAAGACATAATTAAAACGCATTATATATTTAAAGGCATCAAGTAAAGTGTTACCAAACTTACTAGTAGGATGTAATTTTATGGTTTAAATAGTAAACAGTCAAATAAGTTCACAAGTTTTTTTTTTTTTACATTATCAACAAAATATAACTAATATTACAAGGGACAAATAAGGGACACATTATTTTAGGTTGATATTGTAAGTCTATTAGACAATTATTTCCCCTTAATGGGGTGTATCTCATTTGTTTAAAAATTTCTGTAATATATAATATAATATAACAATATATAATAGAATTTAAGTCATCAAGCTGGAACTAGTGACTTTTAAAAACTTAAATGTGTCCCTTTTGTGATGAAATCTAAAGTCACTTCAAAAGAGTTTCATGCTTCCAAAAAGAAAAGAATTAATCAATTCTGGGAATAACCCCTAGAGGAATCTTGACAAGATTGCAAACAGTTTCCCATTATCTTTATGCATTACAGAATTAGTGTACTGTGGCAGAAAGTTAAAGGATGACTTGACTCTGGAGTCCTACGGGATTCAGTCGGGATCCACAGTGCACATCCTGAGAAAGTGTTGGCCTGAGCCTGAGATCCATCCCGGTGAGTCGTGTTTACGGCCTTCAGTGGAACACAAAGAATGGAGATAAAGATGGACACTGGCAAGCTCCAAAAAGACAAAAGTGCACCCTGAATACAGTCCATTATTTATTCCTGTATGTTCTCCTATAGAGCCAGTGGACAAGGTTGCGGCTGCGAGGGAGTTTCGTGTCTTGCAGGCAGCTCTTCACAGCAGCACTGCATACAGAGACTCGGTAGGTTGACTAGAGCAGCATACAGATTCACTACTGACCATGAGTGTCTCTGCTGCTGGTTCTGGATCCTTGGGAACATGTTTGAGTAGCGGTTGACTCATTCCAGGTGTTCAAGATGCTGAACAACAAGGAATCCCTCGAGCAGATCATCGTGGCAACACCTGGGCTGAGCAGCGATCCTGTGGCTCTGGGTACTGTATGATTGCAGGCAGAGGTGATTTGTGATGCGAGGCGTGTTGAAGACTTAATCATGTTTATTGACTGTATTTTTAGGGGTTCTTCAAGACAAAGACCTCTTCATACAATTCACCGACCCAAACATGCTTGACACGTGAGTGAGCATCATTACATACAACTGATCCAAAATAAATGAATAAATACGATTATTAGTAGTACTAATTATAAGAAAAACAACAACAACAACAACAACAATAATATAGTTTTATGTAAAAAATAATAATACAACAACAGCAACAACAAATAAATGGGTTATTATTAATAAACTAATAAATATTAATAATAATTGTTGTTTTCTTATTAGTAATATTAATAATTATTACTATTACTATTACTATTAAGAAAAACAACAATAATCATATTAAGCAATTCATAATAAACATAATAATAATAATCATAATCATCATCATCAATAAATCAATGTTATATGTAAAATAATA